TATATGAAAGTCTGTGCAAACATACATGTTTTATAAAATACATTAGGAAATTTTGAATTTCTTACCGTTAGTAGTGTAGCAGCAAGCACATCGTAATATTTTTCGCGCATAAACATCGTAAAGAAAAACAGTAAATATGCCGAAGTTGGTCACACTTGTTATGAAATTCTGTTACAATAATAATTTAAATTCAAAAATTTTTTTCTATTAACCGGAAATTCGTTATGCAACCAAAATCATCCTTCACACTTTTCTACCTGCAACATTTTTAATTTACATATGTACTGCATATTGGCTTTATAATTTGTATATTGCAATTTGAAATACTGTTCATAAATTGTTGTAGGGTTTCTTAATAATCTGAGAGTGCAAGAATTTATAAAATGTGGCGGTATCCTAATAAAACATGGATCAGACTGAGCTGTTTGATCTACTTCTTTGCGCTTAATACGCATACAATGGGGATCTATGGGGCACCTACAGTAAAAATACCAAATGGCTTATTGGAGGGTACAATAATGATGAGTAGATTGCATAATGAGATACATGCATACAAAAAAATTCCTTACGCCGCTCCGCCAGTGGGAGAACTTCGATTCAAGGTAAAAAATTATTGTTTATTGTAAAATATATAAACAAAATATTAAGTATTTTACTTTTTGTAGTTTCTATTTAGTTAAATCTTTTAACGTAAATTTGCACCGAAATTTAAACAGATATTTTATTTTATATGAAAATGATCAAAGTCGAAAATATATGAAATATTTCAGAGAGAAAAAATCAATAAAAATCTGTAATAAAAATATCAAAATATTAACATAACAGTTAACAGTTAATTAATAACGATTAAATAAAAGAGAAAATTATGAATACAAATTTATAATAAAAATTTATTTTTCCTTTAATTTTTTAAAATAATATTTGTCTCATGTAATTACATGACATATTCACTTTAAACTTGCCATACCCACTATTTTCGTTATCAAAATTTTAATATTTAAATTAAATTTTACCTCTTTTTTTAAAGCCACCACAACCCGCATCTGCATGGTCCAAAAAACGACTAGCCGTGAGCCCTTCGCCGTTCTGCACACAAAAAGATATATTTACAGATATGAAAATTCTTATGGGTCAAGAAGATTGTCTTTACTTAAATGTCTACACACCGAGTATTAAGAAACATCCTTTCACTAAACATCCAGTTATGGTTTGGTTTCACGGTGGTGGATGGATTAGTGGTGGTAGCCATTATTATCAACCCAACTACTTGCTGGACCGCAATATTGTTCTCGTCACTGTGAATTATCGGTAATGAAACTTTTGAATAACGGAATAATTCTCTCATTCTAACGATTCTCCTCACATTAGACTTGGACCGTTGGGTTTCTTGAGCACGGAAGACTCGGAATGTCCAGGAAATCTAGGACTGAAGGATCAACAGCAAGCTTTGCGATGGGTGCAGCAAAACATTGCTTATTTCAATGGTGATCCGACGAGTGTAACTATCTTTGGTGAAAGTTCAGGTGGTGCTAGTGTTCACTATCATATGGTCAGTCCTCTTTCAAAAGGTAAATCTTTTACAATATCTTCGTGAACTATCACATTAGTTGCCCCAAATTTTCTACAAATAGTTAAATACAAAAAGTATAAAATATAATAGAAAACAACAAAATAAATATGTATGGCTATATATTTATATTGTTATAATGTATGAACTCTATCGCACACAGGACTTTTTCATCGCGCTATTTCGCAAAGCGGGACCTTTTATAACCCATGGACTTTAATGCCACCGGGATCTGGTAAGAAGAATGCCAAAACCTTAGCTAAACATTTAAATTGTTCAACCGAGAACTCCAAGGAACTTATTGAATGTTTTGCGAACAAAGAACGCAAGGGAGATTACTGACACCAATCATATTTTTTCAGGTAATTAAATTCAATACATTTCAAATAATCAAAAAATAGTTTAATTTACTACATTATTTTAAATTTAGTCATTTGTTTAATTTAATTTAATTTAATTATCCATATTTTATCGCAGATTTTGAGTTACTGCCCGACGATAGCTTTCAGACCAATAATCGAACCCAAACACTCAGGTGCTTTTTTGATTGAAGATCCTTTAATTTCCGTGCGAGAAAGCCGTCTTGCCAATGTACCCTGGCTAACGGGAGTCGTTTCGCAGGAAGGTGCATTGGTAGCATCAAGTAAGGATCTCTCTGATAATGTGAAAATCGTATCTATAATATATACTAATTATTAAACTTTGGGATTATAATTCAGAGACATTTGTTGAATATTTTTCATTTTTTCTTAGAAATAATTATGAATTTTTTAAAGACAGTTTTTATCATAATAAAAAACATTTTTACCTATTAATTATTTTGATAAATCTTATTAGTATAAAACTCATAAGAAATGTTAACTTTAAATTCTCAAATGTCTTTCCAAATAGCATGTAAACTTAACTCACTACTTTTTCACAATTCATTACATTATAATTCAATAAATTATTTGAATTTTTTAAATGTAAATATTATCAAAAATTACGTCTTAGATGTAATATATAACTTATAATAATAATGGCAACAATAAAATACCGAAAGATTAACATACGTTATATTTTTCAGCTATTTACGGTCAGGAAATGGTGCAAGAACTTAATACTAAATTTTTGAGATGGGCGCCTATAACCTTATTATATCAGGAAAGATATCAGCTTACTGACCAAAATTTTATTGATGAGATAACCAAGGATATCCGTAAATATTACTTCGGTGAAAGTATCATCGACAATTCCGACGAAGTCAGGTTCAATATGATCAACGTAAGTTCAAATAATGAATAACAATAATAATATTAATAATAACAATAATAATAATAATAATAAATAACGAAGAATTATCTTGATATCTATGTTAAAACATAAAATGTCAAAGTATACATATTTACACTTAATTTAATTAAGATGTTTATTACGAATTTGCGGATGTTAAAATTTCGATTGTTTTTATGTCACTATAATCATAACACGATTAATCTCTTGACCATTTTCACAATAATATTCAAATAGTATAATATTTAATTTATTATGATTTTTATAATTTATTTTGTTTCACTATAAATCTAATCGTTCTTTAATGTGATTTTATAGATGTACAGTGATGCATGGTTTACTCATGGCACATACATGGCCGTGCGAGACTTTCTCGCTAATCAAACTTCTCCACTCTATTTTTATTATTTCTCATACAGAGGAAACATATCCTTGAGTTCAACATTCGGTGACTCCATAAGAGATTATGGAGTATCGCATGCGGATGAACTTCAGTATCTATTTCCGCTGAGCCCAGATTTATTCGTGAATTTTGACCATTTGACCGAAGGTGATAGGAACATGATTGACCGCTTGACCACATTTTGGAGCAATTTTGCAAGATTTGGGTAAGTGCTAATATTTTTGCTAATTAATATTATATGTATATTTAAAACTACATGCCCATGTATATATATATTTTTCTTCTTTTTTTCAAATAAAACTATATAAATACTTTTTAAAGCATTAGTTAATACAATTTTTCATTTTTCATAAAAATATATGTTTGGAATGTTTGTATTAAAAATTTATTAGTTTAGAATATGTTTCAATTTTATTGTGAATGTATAATATTTATACAAATATGATAAAAATGCATATAAAAAATAAAACTGTAAAATGTCCCTAATAATGCTAAATAAATTTTTCTTAGAAATTCAACGCCGATAAAATTGCAGTGGACGCCAACAGAATCAAATTTATTGAAATATCTGCATATTGTAAACAGCGAGCAGACTGTCATGAAAAGTGAATTTTTAAAGGATAGAATGTTATTTTGGGACAATCTTGAAAATCGATTGAAATCTTTTGGTACAAACTATAGAGCTTTGTAAAACGGATCTTATTTTTTATTTGCAGAAATTGAGTACAAAAATTTCTCAGATGTTGCAAAATATAAAGCACTAAAAACTTAAGAATTTTTTTCTTTATAAAATTTTAGTAACAAAAATTGCACAATGTAAAAATTTTTTAAATATGTATTTATATATAAGAAGTGCGCAAATGAATAGAATTTAATCCTTGTTTTTTACTTTTTTACTTAGCAATGACTTAGTAGAACGAATAAACTATTTTAATAAATAAATTTGCTTTTATTTTTTTATCACAAAACCTATAAAAATTTTTGCATTTACTTAACTTAATCTTAACAAAAATGACTATTACGATACGATTGGCAATAAAATGCAAGTTATAGAATAATATGTACAGAACTTTATTTAAAAAATTTTTTTTTATTTTTAATATAATACAAAATTATTTTACCTTATTTTTTAACTGCAATACAAATCATAGATGGTTTTTTATAAATTAAACTTTATTAACTTAATTACAAAATTTATAATAAGTTAAATAAGATTATTGCTCTTTTATTTTGTATGGTATTATATAATATCGGTTACTATTACTGCTGTTTTTTTGCTGTTATAATAAAAAAATATGATTCATTAATAGATACTATTTTTTTATAGGTAAAAATAACGGTAAAAGTAACTGATACAATAAATTCTATGCAAAAAGGTAATAATTTCATATCATATATGTTGTTATTACATTAATAATATTTAATTAAAAAGACAGAAGAAGTAATTAGAAAAAATACATCTTTTTTACTGTATAATATTTACTTTTATTCAAATATGACTTTTTAAAATTTAACGAAATATTTAATGTATAATTATAATTAAACTTAAAATATTCATACAATTTTATTATTAATTTGTTATTAATGTAAAAACAAACGATTAAAAAGAACAAATGTTTTACCTTACTTCAAATTGTAGATTGACAGAATACGTTGACGCATCGAAATTGAATATCTATTATTAGTTAATTAAAAATTACTATTGCAAACGTGACAAGTTAATGTGAATTTAAATGTGGAGTACCAACGCATCTGATCATGGATGAGAAAAAGAAGGACGAATTTACAGTCGAGATGGAAGTAAAAATGCTTATGCCTCTAATATGGGATTCACCGGCGATATGTAAAATTCAGGATCTCAAGGAAGCGCAGTACGAAGAAGTTCTGCGCCTGATAAAAGTTCTCTTTTGCATACTTGTTATTTAACACAATTAAATAATATATAATCAGCCAAACAGCACCTTTTCGAACCAAAGTAATTTTTCTTAAATTTGTTACGGATCATAGGATTCTTAATTGACCTACTTTCTTTCTTCTAAAGACTGAAACGAATAAAATACAGAAGCGTAGAAAATTGCAGTCGACTTTGCTTATACTTATTTATTAATATTCTAAATAATGTGGAAATAAAAGATCAATGTTTTGTGGCATAATGTTTTGAAAATGAAAGATTTTTATTCTTATATAGCATCATTATTTCAAAGAGGAACCAATGTGCAAGGCGGCTTTCTTGCTACAGAATCAGGAATCTGTCAATGCGTATTTAAATCTTATAAGGACATGGATAAAGGACACCACCAGTTTGGTCGCACTCAGTTTAGCATCAGGGCGTGTCATTGGAATTGCTGTTACGCGAATAAGTAGCGACTTGGATAAAACCGACACGTATAATCGAGTACAAGTACGTGTGTTATCTTATAAAAACAAATGTTTCAAACTTTACAAGTTTGCTATAAGTTTGCGAGAAGATTTTTTAAATGTAATTTTAATGTGGCATTATAATAGCATAATAGAACATTTTACATAAAAAAGGGATTTATTATAATCTATTATATTAAATTTATTAAATATATTATATAATTTAACATATATTCAATTTGGTTTAGAATTTCGAGGGAAATTCGCTAAAGAAAATCATGTATTTGATCAACACTTTAATAAAGCAGACGAACGCATACAAGGAGCTCGAGTGCAACATGTATTTTCGAGTTCATATCCTCTGCGTTCATCCGTCTTATCAACAAAAGGGTGTCGGCATGGCTCTTTTAAAAACTTGCATTGATGTTGCACCTACGCTTGACATGCCAGCAATCGGTGGCGTTTTTACGTCAGGTCTCAGTCAATCATTAGCACTGAAATTAGGATTTCGTCTCGTCTCAGAAATTCGCTACAGTCGATGGGTCGTCGACAATCAAATCGTATTCGATGATCCCGGCAAAGGAAATTATTCAGCCGCTTTTATGGGAATGCAAATACCTTTTCAAAAATCAATTAGTAAATTATAGAAATATTAAATACTGTGTGTTGATAAACTAATATCATATGTTAATGTAAAAACAGGCAAAATAGCTGTCTTGCCAACAATCCTTAAGAGAGACAATTTCTTTAATGTTCTTTAGCAAATAACGTAGAAAATTTAATTACTTTTTTGTATTTTCTATGAAAATACATAATAGATATAAGCAGTTTACTGACTACATAGCAATGTACAGAAATACTCGAATGTCTATAAATATAATACTAAATACTTTGCGGTCCGCGCAATAACAACAACATTGAAGTGCGCTGTTGAAAAATTTCAACTGGAATCAACATTTTTGAACAAGCAAGCGTAATGGCTGCAAAGTGTTTAAAAGAATTTTGATAAATTAAATTATAACATGTAAAGATTAATTAATATTTCGTTTACACTTCGCGAGTGTTACAATGCAAGATCTAATTCTTTCTTTTATTTTATTAGGATAAATTTTGGAGTTACTAGTTGCAGCATATTAAAAATATAAAATTATTCAAAACTATAATTAATTGTTAGTATATCGACTATATTTTTCTTACACAGCTCAGCATTCTCAATCAGCAGTTGTGGATACGTTTTAATTTGGCGAATAATGCGTGATAAAATATTTATTAATACATTTTGTGATTCTAAAAAATTAAAATGATCGTAAATTTTTATTTAGATATTTAACTGTTTTGTCCAAAAAAATAATGATAGTATTTTAAAAATACAATTGTATAAAATTTTTATTTAGCCAACATTGTCTTTTTGTGAAAAAAAATGGGTAATTTATTTTTTCTACATTCGTACTTTAAAAATTCATATTCGGTTTACAAACTACAGAACATTGTATTATGCGTCGAAAAATATGTAACAGTTTTTTAATTTTTGAAGAATTTTTTTGTAACTGTAGTAGTGAAAACCGGATGGGGCTAGAGAGCTGTTCCATGTCATAAATTTAAGAGTTCTTCTATTACTCCTTATCTGCGTTGAAATTTAGCCTGTCAGATAAAGTCCATTGTTTTCCGTCAAGCTGTATATAGGGCGTTGACCCTCATTTTACTCAGATTCATAGACTTAAGAAACATGGCACCAAGATCTTTTTAACTAAAATAAGGCATCACAAAATACATCGCATTTTCCCTTTCCACATAGCCTGCATTTTTTCGGCTTAGAGTAATCCGAGATTATATACTAAGTGAGCCCTGACGGCCATGTGTTCCGTTTGGAGGCTGATCTCAGGAAACTCAGGAGACTTGTTCTCAGTTTTCTTTTGCCCGTTGCCAAGAATTTATCAGTCCTATTTGTTTCATCAAGAGCTTAGCTTGGTCGTCAATCCTTTCTGTTTCCCAGGAAGCCGGGTATTTTGCTCAGGATAGTTCCTTCTTCTTCCAGCAGTAAAGAAAACACCGGCAATTTGCTCGGCAGGGTTTCCTGCTTCGACAGATCATCTGCTACTTCATTGCCGTGTATATCTTGGCGATCAGGTAATTAATTCATAAAATTATCTCTTTATCCATCTACGTTTCCATCTACATATTCGTAATATGTTCTCCGTATTTTATTTAGAAATTATCGATAAATAATATTTAAATAATATTTTGGAATTTAGATCAAAAGTTTATTGCTTGAAGATATATTTTTTTAATAATATAATATATAATTTTTTTAATAACTTTATTTTCAATAAAGTTTTAAGGAGAAAGAATCAGTAATCTTGTTATATATTTGTGCACATACTGATCACTATATTGTATACCATACGCAATGTACGCTTCAGTATAGGGTGCAAAATTTAGAGGGACGCAAAATTGTAAAAGACGCCAATAATTTTTGAAGTGTCCAAGAACTTGTAAAATTGACCACTCGGTTTGTGACCACTTGGTTCGCCCGGCTCGATGCTGCCTGCTTGTAAAACTTTGTTTTAACCGCGTAGCGGCAAGAAGAATATGATCATTTCTTGTTTTCTTTTCTTTGCGTTGGGGCGCGCGATTGAATTTCAGCGTAGGGGCGCCTGAGACAGTCGTAACGATTCCGGACGTAAATTGCAGTAAAAATCATCGATTTCTCTGTCTACCACAATTCAAAAATCTTATTACCAGTGATTCATGTTCAAATGAAAAAAAAATTCAATTTAATTAACGTAAGCGAAAATTCAAAGATAGTACTTTATTTTAGCAATGCATACACTTGCGGAAAAAATACGTGACAGCGTGTATGTATATGAGAGTCTGTGCAAACATATGTACATGTTTTATAAAATATTTCAGAAAATTCTGAACCTCTTATCGCCTAGCAGCATAGCAGCAGTTTTTAATATTTCTCACACATAAATATCGTAGAGAAGTAAATGTGCCGGAGTTGGTCACATTTTTTATGAAATTCCGTTATAATAATAATTAGATTTCGAAAATTTTCTTGTATTAACCGAAAATTTGCTTATGCAACCAAAATCATCCTTTATCCTTTTCTATTTACAACTAAATACTGTTTTACTTTACATGTGTATTGCATATTACAGGGACCCGAGTCGAAATTTTATTCCTAATTTCAACCTCACTTTTTTCACGTTTACGGATTCTGGAGGATTTTGATAGGTTTCATTGATGTAAGAATATATATGTATTGTATTGTATTTGCTCCTACATTGTATCTCAAATAGACAGTAAACAAACTGTTTCCCACTATGAAGTTTAAAAGAGGAGTTTCGGTAGAGTCAGAGGTTAAATAGGTTCAAAATAGGGTGATGTGACTGCTTTAAATATCAAATTAGTGTTAGATTGAACATTTTGGTCGAAAGTAAGTGTTAGACTAAACATTGAAGTCGCAAATAAGAGCAGAATTTCGACCCGGGGATGCACAAACAGTCGATGGCGACGTGTTTTTTTGATAGATCTTTGCATTTTGATTTTTACTTTATTTAATTTTATTATAAAATTTGTGTATCAAATTTTAATATTTATTTTGTTTCTATTAATTTCTTTATATTTTGACACTTTGTTTATATTTATTGATATGTTTAATATATGTTTAAATCACATTATAATTTTATATTTAATATTATAGTTTTTCCTTAGTACAACGTAGATCGCGAGGTCGATTTATCAAAAAAAAGTAGCTTGTTTGTACAAAAAGGTTGGGCAGCAACAGGCATATTAGTTTTATAATCTGTGTTGCGATTTGTTACTGTTTACAAATTGTTGTAGGATTGTTCAATAATCTGAGATTATAAAGTGCAAGAATTTATAAAATGTGGCGGTATTCTAATAAAACATTGATCGGACTGAGCTGCTTGATCTACTTCTTTGCGCTTAACGCGCATACTATGGGGATCTATAGGGCACCTACAGTAAAAATATCAAATGGCTCATTGGAGGGTAAAATAATGATGAGTAAATCGAATAATGAGATACATGCATACCAAGGAATTCCCTACGCCGCTCCGCCAGTTGGAGATCTTAGATTCAAGGTAAAAAATTATTATTTATTGTAAAATATATAAACAAAATATCAAGTATATTACTTTTCGTAGTTTCTATTCAATCAAATTTTTTAACGCAAATTTGCACCAAAATTTAAACAGATATTTTATTTTATATGCAAGTGATCAAAGTCGAAAATATATGAAATATTTTAGAGAAAAGAAATCAATTTTAATCTGTAAAAATATCAAAATATTAACATAATAGTTAACACTTGATTAATAACGATTAAATAAAAGTAAAAATTATGAAGACAAATATATAATAAAAATTAACTTTACCTTCAATTTTCTAAAGTAATGTTTATCTTATGTAATTACATGACATGTTCACTTTACACTTGCCACACCTACTCTTTTTGTTACCTAAATTTTAATATTTATATTAAAGCCTGTCCTTTTTTTATAGCCACCAGAACCACCATCCGCTTGGAATGGAACACGATCAGCCGTGCGTGTTTCGCGGATATGCCTACAAATAGATTTATTCTATGAAATAAAATATGATGAAGACGAAGATTGTCTTTACTTAAATGTCTACACACCGAGTATTAAAATACATCCTGAATATCCAGTTATGGTTTTTTTTCACGGTGGTGGATGGTTGAGTGGTGAAGGTAATTCTCGTCAACCTCACTATCTGCTGGACCACAATGTTGTTCTCGTCACTGTGAATTATCGGTAATAAAACTTTTGAGTAACGGAATGATTCTCTCATTCTAACGATTTTCTTCACATTAGACTTGGACCGTTGGGTTTCTTGAGCACGGAGGACTTGGAATGTCCAGGAAATCTAGGACTGAAGGATCAACAGCAAGCTTTGCGATGGGTGCAGGAGAACATTGCTTATTTCAATGGTGATCCGACGAGTGTAACTATCTTCGGTCAAAGTGCAGGCAGTGCTAGTGTTCACTATCATATGGTCAGTCCTCTTTCAAAAGGTAAATCTTTCATAATATCTTTTAAAACTTTCACATTAGTTCCACCAATTTTTTTACAAATAGTTAAATACAAAATGTATAAAATATAATCGAAAACAAAAAAATAAGTATGTACGGCAATATATATTTATATTGTTATAATGTATTAATTCCATCGCAAACAGGCCTTTTTCATCGCGCCATTACGCAAAGCGGCACCTTTTATAACCCATGGGCTTTAATGCCACCGGGATCTGCTAATAGCAATACCAAAATATTAGGTTGTTATTTAAACTGTACAACCGAGAACTCCACGGAACTTATTGCATGTTTGCGAACAAAGAGCGCAAGGAATATTACTGCTACCTTTAGTGGTTTTAAGGTAATTAAATTAAATACATCAAAATATTGGAAGATGTTGAATTCACACATTTTTTTTTAATTTGCATTAATTTATTTATCTATATCTTATCGTAGATTCTGGATATCTGCCCGCACCTGATACCTTTCGTTCCGGTAATCGAACCTGAACACTTAGGTGCATTTTTGACTGAAGATCCTACAATTTCCGTGCAAAAAGGTCACATTGCCGATGTACCTTGGATAACGGGAATCAATTCGGAGGAAGGATCCTTGTTTACATCATGTAAGGATCTCTCGCGTTAAAATAGCGTTAAAATCGTATCCATATAATATACTAATAACTAAACTTCGGGATTTTAACTCAATCACATTTGTTGAATATTCCTCATTTGCTTTTTTTCTTAGAAATAATTATTTTTATTTATAATTTATAATTAATAATTTTTTAAAGACAGTTTTTAAAATATTATGAAACACTTTTACTTATAAATTATTTTGGTAAATCTTATTAATATAAAACTCTTAAAAAATGTTAAAATGTTTAAATCCTTAAATGTGTTTCCATATAGCATATAAACTCAATTTACTATGCTTAATCTTTAACAATTCATTACATTATAATTCAATAAATTATTTCGATTTTTTTAACCTAAACATTATCAAATATTGCTTCTTAGATTTAATATATAACTTATAGCAAATAATGTCAGCAATAAAATAGGGAAATATTAACATGTGCCACGCTTTTCAGCTATTTACAATTGGAATTTCACAGAAATACTTAATAATGAATTCATGAAATTAGCACCTGTAACCTTATTTCATCAGATAAGATATCAGTTTCCAAACCAAAATTTTGTTAATGAGATAACCAATGATATCCATAAACAATACTTCAATCAAAGTAACATCGACGAATCCAAAGAAGCCACGTTCAATATGATCAACGTAAGTTCAAATAATGAATAATAATAATAATATTAATAATAGTAATAATAATAATTATAAATAGCAAATAATTAACTTGATATCTATGTTAAAATATAAAATTTTAAAATATATATATTTTACATTTAAATCAATTAAGATGTATGTTACAAATTTGAGGATGTTAAAATTTTGATTGCTTTGATGTCACTATAATCATATCACGATTAATCTCTTGATTATTCCCACAATTTTTTTTAATAATATTTAAATTATTATCATTTTTATAATATATTTTGTTTCACTATAAATCTAATGACTCATTAATGTGATTTTTTAGATGTACAGTGATGCATGGTTTAATTATGGCACGTATAGGGCTGTGCGAGACTTTGTAGCTAACAAAACTTCTCCAGTCTATTTTTATTATTTTACATACAAAGGAAACTCTTTAAGATTTGGTAATTCCACTAAAGATTATGGAGTAACGCATGGGGCTGAAATGGAGTATTTATTTCCCCCTAAAAATAGGAATAGAAATGTTGTCCCTTACCAGAATAAATCCAAAGATGATAAGGATATGATTGATCTCATGACCACACTTTGGTATAATTTTGCATTATCTGGGTAAGTGCTAATATCTCTGCTAATTAATGCTATACATAAATTTAAAACTGCATTCACACTCACTCAACACACACACACACACACACACACACACACACACACACACACACACACATTTTTTAAAAATAAATTTATATATTTTATAAAGTATTAGTTAATACAACTTTTTATACTTGATAAAAATATATTAGAATGTTTGCATCAAAAACTCATTTGTTTAAGAGATATTTTAATTTTGTTGTTGTAAAGTAATACTCATACAATTGTGATAAAAATGTATATAAAAGATAAAACTGTAAAAAATGTCCCTAATAATGCTAAATAAATTTTTCTTAGAAATCCAACGCCGAATAATACGCAATTGCAGTGGAATTCCACAAAATCAAATTCATTGGAAGATATGTTTGTTATAGACGGAAAGAATAGTTCCATGAAAAGTGGACTTCTAACGAAAAGAATGTCATTTTGGGACTGTCTAGAAAATCGAATGGAGTCTGCTAGTAACGAAACCCACTTTTGTTACAATTAAAACAAGACAATATTGTTTTATCTTTTAAAAAAATTGTCGTATTCACTCCTAAAAAAAGAATGTAAGATCGATACTCGAATGTATCGAAAGTATTGTTGATGCTTTTCCGCGACGCTGATTGATTATCGCGATTTGGCAGTTGATACTTTGAGAGCAAAGGTTATTTTCACGATTATTTAAAATAAAAAAAATTTTATTAAAAGATTTAGATTTTATAATTATTAAATTACCATAATAAGTGCGCGCGCGTAGCGCGCGCCTGTATTGTTCTAGTATATTAAACTTTTCAAAAAAACTGTCGTATATATTAAAACATTTCAAAAAAACCTGTTGTATAAATTAAAATTTTCAAAACAAGCAATTATATATCCTTTCGACAAAAAAGTATGATATCAGAAAATGGCGCCAAGGGACTAAAGAACAATGAAAAAAGTTGTACACTATTTCTATAAAACTCTTTTATAAAACTCTTGCACATAAAGCTGTTGTTTATTAACCTTTCAAAAAAACCCTCACATATATATATTTAAACCTGTCAATAAAAGCTGTCGTATATACATAATTAACTATATTATATATTATATTTTACCATATTTTACATGTACTATATTATTTATACTATATATATATATGTTATTACATATACTATATATATTATGAAAAAAATACATAAATAAAAGAATTAAAAATAATATAAATAAATATAGATTTCCACACCCGTGAGGTACTATTGTTAAAAAAAGGTGTTCAAAATGGTATCTCACAGGTGATGTGGAAATCTATATTCATCCCATATTTATTATCTTGTTGCATTTGTGATATGAACATTCCTGAGGCTGAGTATCGCGCACCTTACTTATGGGCGTTGTTAGCGCGTTTGATGACTCGTTGTTAGCATGCGAGCGGCAAGAAGAGGACAATGGGCGTCAATCAGAAAATTAAGCCGAAAGTTGCAACTAATTCTCTGATTTAACACATTGAATCGAAGAAATAGTGTACTTTTCATATTTTTATTTAAAGTACTCTTGTGTATGATTATATTTTTAATATCATATGATTAATATTTGATATATATTGATTCGAAAGGCTATTAGTCGATGAAAGTTGTTTGAGCTCAATCAAAATCAAAATTAGAAACACTTTGCTTTTTTTAATGCACAACGCATTTAGCAGGTTACATATTTTCTAATGATTTTTATGATTATAATCTAATATAACATATATCTTTTCTAAATATACATATATTAATATTGGCAACATATAAATAAATTTAATTTAAGTTAATTAATAGAATGAGTACTTCGTTTTTTAAAAATAAATGCACGTAAAACTCAAAATATTTGAAAAAAATACATAAAAATAAAATTTTGATATAATTACTAGGTAATACTACGGTAATAAAGTGATAAAAATTATACGGACTGCAAAGTGTCTCAAAAGTTTATTTTTATTCTATCTTTGATCCATTATTTTAATAATAAAAGACAAATTAAACTCACCGATTGATGCGCAGCAGCGAAATTGTCGTTCTGTTGATCTGCATAGTTGATCTGCAAAATACGAAAATAAATCAAGATTATAATTGCGTTCATAATGAATATTTATCAAATTATAATTGAGTACATTAAACTTTTAATTTTTTTTGTAAGCCAATATGGAATAAAAGAATAATTGTAAAATGTTTGATTATTAAAATAAAAAATAATTAATATGTGAATAAATTCTAATAATAATAAATATTAATTAATGTACAACATTTTCAACAAATAAATGAATTATTATTTATCGTAAAGTTGCTCCGCCGGCGCCCGATACTCTTGAGCCTCCTCCTCCTCTCAGTCCTCACAATTTTCGCAGCCCTCGCAGTTTTTCAAAGCACTCACACGCGATCGCGACGCGAGTAATTTTCCCGATAATTTTTTTAAATGCTTGCACGCGTGCGTTTTTAAATACGAAAGTTGTGCGACCCTTTAAACGGCGCTCCCGATTTTTATTACGACGCATTTTATTACGACAATTACACGGTATTTTACACACTCTCAACGCGATTTTGTCGTATGAGGACAAAAGTATAATTCGAATATCGCTTATCGCACGAAATACGTGTTCAACACTCTGCGTAAAACAATATGTACGCAACAGGTAATGATGGAAAAGGGGAGGAAGGCGGAAAACTGTAGGAGAGCTGTCTCATATGTCATAAATTTAAGAGTTCTTCTGTTACTCCCCATCTGTGTTGCAGTTTAGCCTGTAAGACAAAGCCCATCGTTTTCCGCAAAGCTGTACATAGGTTGTTAACCCTCATTTTACTCAGATTCGTGAACTTAAGAAAGATACGGCCCCAAATCTTTTTAACGCTAGAATAAGGCAGCACCGCAAGATATATTTCTTTTTCTTCTCCAAATAGCCTGCATTTTCTCCGCTTAGATTAGTCCGAGGTTATATAAGTGTGCCCTGACGACCATGTGTCCCGTTTGGAGACTGATATCAGGAGACTCAAAAAATTTGTTCTCAGTTTTCTTTTGCCCGTTGCCAAGAGTTCATCAGTCCTACTTGTTTCATCAAAACCTTAGCTTGGCGATAAATTCTTTCTGTTTCCCAAGAAGCCGGGTATTTTCGCTCAGGATAGTTCCTTCTTCTTCCAGCAGTAAAAAAAACACCAACAATCTGCTCGGCAGGATTTCCTGCTTCGACAGATCATCTGCTACTTCATTGCCGTGTATAAATATACATTTTGGCGATAAATATACTTTTGGCGATCAGGTAATTAATTCTTAAAATTATATCTCTTTATCTAACTACGTTTTCATCTACATATTTGTAATATGTTTTCCGTATTTTAATTAGAAATTATCGACAAATAGTATTTAAATAATATTTTGGAATTTATTTTCATAAAGTTTTAAGGAGAAAGAATCAGTAATCTTGTTATATATTTGTGCACATACTGATCACTATATTGTATACCATACACAATGTACGCTTTAGTATAGGGTGCAAAATTTAGAGGGACGCAAAATTGTAAAAGACGCCAATAATTTTTGAAGTGTCCAAGAACTTGTAAAAATTGACCACTCGATTTGTGACCACTTGGTTCGCCTGGCTCGATGCCGTCTGCTTGCAAAACTCCGTTTTAACCGCGCAGCGGCCAGAAAAATATGATCATTTTTTGTTTTCTTTTCTTTACGTTGGGGCGCGCGATTGAATTTCAGTGTAAGGGCGCCTGAGACAGTCATAACGATTCCGGACGTAAGTCGCAGTAAAAATCATTGATTTCTCTGTCTACCATAATTTAAAAATTTTATTATCAGTGATTCTTGTTTAAATAAAAAAAATTCAATTCAATTAACGTAAGCAAAAATTCAAAGATTGTATTTTTCTAGCAATGCATAAACTCGCGGAAAGAATACGAGAGAGCATGTATGTATATGATAGTCTGTGCAAACATACATGTTTTATTAAATAATTCAGAAAATTCTGAATCTCTTATCGCCTAGCAACGTAGCAGCAACTTCTAATATTTCTCATAAATATAGTAGAAAAGTAAATATGCCGAAGTTGGTCACATTTTTTCATAAAATTCTCTTATAGGGATAATTAGATCTCAAAAATCATCTTTCATCCTTTTTTATTTGCAACTAAATACTGTTTCGATGCACAACTAGTCGATCACGACGTGTTTTTCTGATAGATCTTTACATTTCGATTTTTACTTTATTTTATTTTATTATAAAATTTGTGTTTCTAATTTTAATATTTATTTTGTTTCTATTAATTTCTTTATATTTTGACATTTGTTTATATCCATTGATATGTTTAATAAATGTTGAAATCACATTATTATTTTATATTTAATATTATAGTTTTTCCTTAGTACAACGTAGATTGCGAGGTCGCTTTATTAAAAAAAAGTAGCTCGTTTGTACAAAATGTTGGGCAGCAACAGGCATATTAGTTTTATAATTTGTATTGCGGTTTGAAATACTGTTTACTAATTGTTGTAGGATTGTCCAATAATCTGAGATTATAGAGTGCAAGAATTTATAAAATGTGGTGGTGTTCTAATAAAGCATTGATCAGACTGAGCTGTTTGATCTATTTCTTTGCGGTTGATGCGCATATTATAAGGAACGATGTGGCACCTAGAGTAACAATAAGAAATGGCACATTGGAGGGTACAATAAAAATGACTAGATGGAATAATAAGACTTATGCATTCCAAGGAATTCCTTACGCCGCTCCGCCAGTGGAAGAACTTAGATTCAAGGTGAAAAATTATTAGTTATTGTGAAATATATAAACAAAATATCAAGTATTTTACTTTTCGTAATTTCTATTTAATCAAATCTTTTAACGCAAATTTGCATCGAAATTTAAACAGATATTTTATTTTATATGCAAGTGATCAAAGTCGAAAATATATGAAATATTTCAGAGAGAAAACATCAATTTTAATCTGTAATAAAAATATCAAAATATTAACATAATAGTTAACACTTAATTAATAACGATTAAATAAAAGTAAAAATTATGAAGACAAATATATAATAAAAATTAATCTTTCCTTCAATTTTTTAAAGTAATGTTTATCTTATGTAATTACATGACATGTTCACTTTACACTTGCCACACCTACTATTTTTGTTATCTAAATTTTAATATTTATATTAAAGCCTGTCCTTTTTTTATAGCCACCAGAACCATCATCCGCTTGGAATGGAATACGATCAGCTGAGAATTTCTCGCGGATATGCACACAAACAGATTTATTCTACAACACGCGAAAAATTGATGGCGGCGAAGATTGTCTTTACTTAAATGTTTACACACCGAATATTACAAAAGAACCTTACCCTCAATATCCAGTTATGGTTTGGATTCACGGTGGTGGATGGCTTAATGGTGAAAGTAATTACACTAAACCTGGCTATCTGCTGGACCACAATGTTGTTTTCGTCACTGTGAATTATCGGTAATAAAACTTTTAAGTAAGTTAGAATGATTCTCTTATTCTAACGATTTTCTTCACTTTAGAGTTGGACCGTTGGGTTTTTTGAGCACGGAGGACTTGGAATGTCCAGGAAATCTAGGACTGAAGGATCAACAGCAAGCTTTGCGATGGGTGCAGGAAAACATTGTTTATTTTAATGGTAATCCGAAGATTGTAACTATTGTCGGTCAAAGTGCAGGCAGTGCTAGTGTTCACTATCATATGGTCAGTCCTCTTTCAAAAGGTAAATCTTTCATAATATCTTTGAGAACTTTCACACTAGTTCCACCAATTTCTCTACAAATAATTTAATATAAAAAATATAAAATATAATTTAAAACAAAAAAATAAATATGTACGGCTATATATTTATATTGTTATAATGTATCAATTCCATCTCAAACAGGCCTTTTTCATCGCGCCATTACGCAAAGCGGCACCTTTTATAACCCATGGGCTTTAATGCCACTGGGATCTGCTAGAACAAATGCCCAAATATTAGGTAGTTATTTAAACTGTACAACCGAGAACTCCACGGAACTTATTGCATGTTTGCGAACAAAGAGCGCAATGGAGATTACTCTTACCTATCATAAGTTTCGGGTAATTAAATTTAATACATCAAAATATCAAAAGATGTTAAATTCACACATTTTTTTTAATTTGTATTAATTTGTTTATTCATATCTTATCGCAGATTCTCGATATCTGCCCGCCCCTGGTACCTTTCAGACCGGTAATCGAACCTGAACACTTTGGTGCTTTCTTGACTGAAGATCCTATAATTTCCGTGCAAAAAGGTCACGTTGCCGATGTACCTTGGATAACGGGAATCGATTCGGAGGAAGGATCCTTGTTAGCACCACGTAAGGATCTCCCTAATAGCGTTAAAATCGTATCTATATAATATACTAATTACTAAACTTCGGGATTTTAACTCAAAGACATTTGTTGAATATTCCTTATTTGCTTTTTTTTTTAGAAATAATTATGAATTTTTTAAAGACAGTTTTTCAAATATTATCAAACACTTTCAAATATAAATTATTTTGGTAAATTTTATTAGTATAAAAGTCTTAAAAAATGTTAAAATGTTTAAATCCTTATAATTGTTTCCATGTAGCATATAAACTCAACTTACTATGTTTAACCTTTCACAATTTATAATATTATAATTCAAAAAATTATTTTGATTTTTTCAACCTAAACATTATCAAATATTGCTTCTTAGATTTAATATATAACATAATAAATAATGTCAGCAATAAAATAGAGAAATATTAACATGTGCCATGCTTTTCAGTTATTTACTATCGGAGATACACAAAAATAATTAATGATAAATTCATGAACCTTGCACCTATAACCTTATTATATTGGGAAAGGTATCAGTTTCCGAACCAAACATTTGTTGATGAGATAACCAAGGATATTCGTAAACAATACTTCAATGAAAGTACCATTGACGAATCTGACGAAGCCAGATTCAATGTGATCAACGTAAGTTCAAATAATGAATAATAATAATATTATTATTATTATATTAATATTATATTAATTATAATAATATTAATAGTAATAATAATAATAATAATAAATAGCGAATAATTATCTTGATATCTATGTTAAAATATAAAATGTTAAATAATATATATTTCACATTTAAATCAAGTAAGATGTACATTACGAATTTGAGGATGTTAAAATTTTGATTGCTTTGATGTCACTATAATCATACCACGATTGATCTCTTGATTATTCTCACAATTTTATTTAATAATACTTAAATTATTATCATTTTTATAATATATTTTGTTTCACTATAAGTCTAATGACTCATTAATATGATTTTTTAGATGTACAGTGATGCATGGTTTAATCATGGCACGTATAGGGCTGTGCGAGACTTTGTGGCTAATAAAACTTCTCCAGTCTATTTTTATTATTTCGCATACAAAGGAAACTCTTTAGAATTTGATGATTTCACCAATGATTATGGAGTAACGCATGGGGCTGAAATGGAGTATTTGTTTCCGCTTGAAGAGTGGAATGGCGAGAATAAATCCGAAGATGATAGCGATATGATTGATCTCATGACCACACTTTGGTATAATTTTGCATTATCTGGGTAAGTGCTAATATCTCTGCTAATTAATGCTATATATATAAATTTAAAACTGCATTCACACACACACACACACACACACACACACACACACACTACTTATTTTTAATAAACTTATTTAATATATATACTAACTTTTATACTTCAATAAAATATATTAGAATGTTTGCATCAAAAACTCATTTGATTAAGAAATATTTTAATTTTGTTGCTATAAAGTAATACTTATACAATTGTGATAAAAATGTATGTAAAAGATAAAACTGTAAAAAATGTTCCTAATAATGCTAAATAAATTTTCTTAGAAATCCAACTCCGAATAATACGCAATTGCAGTGGAATTCAACAACAACAAATTCATTGGAAGATATACTTGTTATAGACGGAAAGAATACTTCCATGAAAAGTGGACTTCTAACGAAAAGAATGTCATTTTGGGACTGTCTAGAAAATCGAATGGAGTCTGCTAGTAACGAAACCCACTTTTGTCACAACTAAAACAAGACAGTATTGTTTTACCTTTCAAAAATATTGTCATATATAAACGTTACAAAAAACCGTGTATATATTATGTCGTATATATTAAAACATTTAAAACAAATTTGTCGTATATATTAAAATTTTCAAAACAAGCAATTATATATCCTTTCTACAAAAAAGTATGATATCAGAAAATGGCGCCAAGGGACTAAAGAACAATGAAAAAAGTTGTACACTATTTCTGTAAAAATCTTCTATAAAACTATTGCACATAAAGCTGTCGTATATATTAACCTTTCAAAAAAACCGTCACATATAACATATTTTTTAATAATTTCTATAGTTATAATCTAGGATAACATATATCTTTTCTAAATATACATATATTAATATTGGCAACATATAAATAAATTTAATTTAAGTCAATTAAAAGAATAAGTAGTTTGTTTTTTAAAAATAAATGCACGTAAAACTCAAAATATTTTTTAAAAAATACATAAAAATAAAATTTTAAAATAATTACTATAAAGTGATAAAAATTATACGGTCTGCAAAGTGTCTTGAAAGTTTATTTTTACTCTATTCTTTGATCCATTATCTTAATAATAAAAGACAAATTAGACTCACCGATCGACTGTAAAATGTTTAATCATTAAAATAGAAAGTAATAAATATGTAAGTAAATTCTAATAATGATGAATATTAACTAATGTAAATATTTTAAGTCTTTTAGTGTACAACATTTTCAACAAATAAATGAATTATTATTTACCGTAAAGTTGCTCCGCCGGCGCTCGATACTCATTCTGAGCCTCCTTTTCCTTTCAGTCCTCACAGTTTTCGCAGCCCTCGCAGTTTTTCAAAGCACTCACACGCGATCGCGACGCAAATAATTTTTCCGATAATTTTTTAAATACTTGCACGCGTTTGTTTCTAAATACGAAAGTCGTGCAACTCTTTATACGGCATTCCCGATTTTTATTATGACGCATTTTATTATGACAATTACACGATATTTTACACATTCCCAACGCGATTTTGTCGTATGAGGACAAAGATATAATTCGAATATCGCTTGTCGCACGGAATTCGTTCGGCACTCTGCGCAGAACAGTATGTACGCAACAGGTAATGATGGAAAATGGGGAGGAAGACGGAAAATTGTAAGGGAAAATAGTGAGAGTAGTAAGGGGAGGGATAACTCGATATATAAACCCGTACAAGTGCTCCGCCGTGCGACTGGTAAGAGACAAGATACGCGCAGGATATTTGAAGGACTTGCGCAGAAAAGGTAACATGCGCAGAAGAGATACATGGGTAATGCGAAGTACAGGATAACATATAATGGTAGGATAAAAAGAGATAGTAAAAGAATGGAATGTGTAAGCAGCGTGACCTAAACAAACCCTTAAACGGTAAGCCTTGCTCTCTCTCTACGATAACACAACACGAAATATTTTTCACGTTACAATATTCATTACAAAATAATTTTAATTTTGACAAATAAATTACTATCATATTTTTTATTCTATTATACTCTCAAAATCTTCTTTATTTATTAACGTTGTTTAAGATAGTAATTAATTTCAGTTTATTAAAATTTCGCGAAACTTATTCTTATCTCAGATAACGTTAACGAGTTTATAAAATAAGGCGCACAAATTGTGTGATATAAATTTATTTATAGAAATTAAAATTTAAAACGCAAAAAACAGAATATTATTTTATAATATGTAAAATATATTATATTTAATATATTATTAAAACTGGTCGAAAATGTGCGCAATGTTTCAATACTGGCTTGATGCGTTTGTTAAAAGTTTCTTTCTTTTGTGGTTCTCTACACATTTTCTAACTGCGTATTGTTTAAATCAAAATTGTAATTAGTAACATAACTTTCTATAAGTAATTTTCGATTAATTCAACGACGTTAAATATAATGTCGTTAAATATAAGATATTTAAAAGATTTAGAAAGACTTTCAATAAAGTATTTAAAATATTTTATTTTCATAATTATTAGAAATTTTGTATGTATACTACATAGTATTGTTTTAAATATCTAAATATTTTTTATTTAAAAATGATAATTCTTTGGATAATATATATATGAATAAACAAATATAAAGTTCAATGTACGTATTATTTATAGTAATTATTTTATAAATATTAATTATTTTTTACACAGCTCTCTAATCTGAATTTATTATTATATTTTATAGATTAACTTTACAGATAAACTTCGCAGATCAACAAGACGACAACTCTGCTGCCGCGCTTTATAACAGTGAGTCAGATCACTTAACGCTTCAGTTCGATTTATCTTTTTTATTATTAAGATAATCGATATATAATGAATACTCATACAATTCAAATAAATGTGTATATTAAATATGGCTCATAGTTATTTGATCGTTGGTACGAACATTATCCTTTAAGCTCTTTCCGGATGATTTGCGCTGAAATTCTTCTTCCAAATTCCAAATTACCTCGTCGTTGAATTTCTGTTCCTCGACGATCCAGCCACACATCCGTGTACATATTAGGAAACCTATAAATTAAATTATAGTACTAAATTTTTATAAAATTCTGTACTAAATTTTTATAAAAAAAGTAGAGGAAAGAAATAGAAGTTGTTTCTTAATAAGATACAATTAAATAATTGGATTTCAAAATAACAGATTTTATTATTTTATTAGAAATATTAAAAGTCATAATCGCGTCTCACACCACGATATGCGCAGCAAATAGACAAATTGTGACTTATTCATAGTTGAGAATAATTTAAATTATTATGTTTAGTAGCGTCGAGTCGAATACGTGCTAAATAATAATAAAAGTCTCTTTATTATTTGCTCCACATATTTTCTGAACAAAAAATGTTTGAGTGCGCGAATATAATGAATTCTGTTCTGTGAGAATGGAATTTACACGCTCAACTTTATGTTACATCTATCGTATTAGTCTAAAAAAATTCGAACAATTTAATTTTGATATTTGATCACGGAAAAATTATACAAAATAAAGATCAATTAAAAATACCTGTTATCAAGCCGGAAACGATGGAGATTCCAAGGGTTACTACCAGCGCTAATAATTGATATCCTGCTTGTTGATACGCTGTCCTATTTAATCCTGGTGATATTCCGGGATAATTGTTTCGTATTTCACTAAGTTTTACTTCTGAGCTTGGTGCCCGTGCCGGAAATATCTGTCGATAAATATTATTACTTTTATTTGGTGTTAAATGGTGGAAAAATGGACATATTAGGTGTCTTATTTTAAACAATATAAAATATTTAGAAACGCCGTATTTTTTAGTAATAAGTAGTAATAGAATTACATACTTCGTATAGAGAGTAATTATAAGTAGTTTCCGTAGCCAAGTTTGCCATGAGTGCGCCGAAAAGTCCAGCTAACACTCCCGGCATTCCGTGCAAATTATGTACTCCGCAAGTATCATGGATATGAAGGTATCTCTGTATGATAGGCTGGATAAAGATATATATAAAAAGATATTAATATAAAAAATAAGATATATATTTGAATTTTAGTTTTTTCTCGTTTTTTTACTATTTAATTTTAAACATATCTTATTTCTGGTATTTTTCAAATTTATTGAAATAGCAATTAGAAATGTAAACTTTTTAATTCAAGAATACAATAAATTTTTTAGAAAAAAATAAAGGATATATCTGTAAATAAATAATTGTATCGTTGAAATTATAATTATTATCATCACCGTAAGATATTTATATCCCAGCACGCTGATCACGCCAGATAAAACACCAACGACCAAAGCCCCTACGGGTTGACACATCATACCTGCATGCGTATTGAGAACATCAAAATTAAAAAGAGATACATTAAATTTAAAAAAATAGAACCCAAAATTAATTAAATAAATTAAAAAGTAGTATTGTGTCATAATTATTCCTACACAAAAATATATATCGATCGGAATCATTAATCTATAATATTTCCTATATATCTGTTGCAGTCTTCCGGGCAAAAAGCACGCGGGTTAACTATTTAATTGATTAACATCAATTGAAATTATTTAATCAACATACCTGCGGCTGTACCGATGGCTACGCCACCAGCCAAAGTTGAGTTCTGAATATGCACCATATCGAATCTATTGTTTTTAGAGACCAGCGCAGATACGGCGAATGTAATTACACAGCTCGCAGATATCGATAGCAAAGTATTAATTATTGCTCGCTGTTGATCGTCCCCCGTTAATCCAGCGCTATTGAATGATGGCCAGAATAGCCATAAAAACACAGTACCTAAAAACAATGGTCAATCTTATTAACATATTAACTTAGCGTCTCTTCTTTTAAAAAATTGGATAAAATTATATAAAAATCAAGAAAAAGAAATAATCGTTAGAATTAAATCATGTATTTGGTTTATCAAACTAAGATTTATTATTTGATACAGCGATGATTTCTTTATCCTATAAAGATATGAATAGAAAAAGAGAAAGAAAGGAGAGTTTAATAGTTAAAACTGATTTAACACGTACCGATCATGGCAAATATATCTGACTGATAGGACGATCCCTCAAGCTCATGTTCCTTCGGCTTTTCCTTTACCCCAATTACGAAGCTAATTGCCAATCCAAAATATGCGCCAAAAACGTGAACAAACATACTGTCACCAGCATCGACAGCCTATAAAATATGAATATGGTTATTCTTTATTCTCTACGTTCTAAATTACGAAAGATCTCTAAATTAAGAATTTTTCGAGACGCAGCATTATTATGCGAATAATATGTGTGCATTTCTTCTAAAGCAGAGATGGGAATTAATTGCAACTTTTGGCTCGATTTTCTGATTGACGCCTCCTGCCCCCTCCTTGCTCGCATGCTAATAACAAGTCACTAAACGCGCTAACAACGCCCATAACTAAGGTGCGCGATACTTGGCCTCAGGAATGTCCATATCACAAATGCGACAAGATAATAAATATGAGATAAATATAAATTTCCACATCACCTGTGAGATACTATTGTTGAATAACGCGTTAATAATTGTCTCATATTTATTATCTTGTTGCATTTGTGATATGGACGTTCCTGAGGCTGAGTATCGCGCATCTTTGTTACGGGCGTTGTTAGCGCGTTTGGTGACTCGTTACTAGAATGCGAGCGGCAAGGAGAGGACAGTGGGCGTCAATCGAAAAATCGAGCCGAAAGTTTCAACTAATTCCCATCTCTGTTCTAAAGATATTGAGCCGCGCAAGCCGTCTGCGTATTTTTTGATCAAATCTCATGTATTACATTTGTATGTGTTCAAATTTCTAGAGTTTAACTGAAAGTTCAATTTTTTCTCATGTTATTAAAAACAACAAATATATTTTACATACTAATATTAAACGACTCAACATTTATAATTTTCTCTATTATACATTTTTATGTAATTGTAAGACAAATCATTTTTTTGAAAAAATAAGCAACGCTATTTTAATACAGAATATTGCCTGTTCTTATATATCGTTACAAATTGCTAAAATCAAAAATAGACTTACCATAAACAGTTGTTCGCCTATGTATTGATTGACAGTAAACATAATCAACTCTATTATTCCCATGAATATCAATTGCATGTACGTCACTTTACCCAGAACTGCTCCCATGGAGATAAGCGGCGCGGCGACTGCGACATCGGCACTAAGAAGGCTGAAGGAATCCACAATAAGATATAATAAAAATAATGATAACAATTGTAAGCAATAATTATAAATTTATTAAAAATTAAAATTCTAAAATTAAAATTAAATTTTAATAATCAATTATTTTTGCTTAAATTTTATCTAAATAATATTATTTAACAATATTCTGAAGCATGCTAGTATATTCATGCTCTATATCAAGATTTTCCTTTTCTTTATTTAGCCTGGAATTTTGTTTTCTATTCAAAATACGGACTAAAAAAACAAATGGAAAATAATTTTTTTTATCACAAATTGCTATTTCTTAAACCAAAAAGTTTCTTACATGCTGCAGGTCACTTAAAATCTATTTTAACTGATTATTAGATACATTTTACTTGGATGTTTTATCCAAAAAATTGTGAAAATGGGCAAAAAATTTGATTAAAGTCGCTAATTTAAATATTTATTCTTTTATTATTCTATTCTATTTAAATTTTTAATATAGATTATGATAAAGACACTTACCTTTCTAATGAAAGATAAGCCTTGTTGCCTAATTTTATTTGCAACATACTGTCACAGATTAGAGCTACCTGAATGAGAATAGCTGCCACAAGAAATGTTAAGCCCGCAGCACTTTGGCCATATCGTTTAAGAAACGTCATCAAAAAGCCGAAGCCAATCCAGATCATTACATGGATATCTTGATACACTAGGTTGTTTTAGCCAAATCCAAATACAAAGAAAGAAAGATAAGATTTTTACAATGCTTTGAAAGTTATCTTTATATTTTTAACCAATATTTTGTCCCTTAATTGTTGCTCTGAATGTATAATCGAATAATTTGATTTACTCACGTGGATAAATTTGCATTAAATTGTCGTTCGTTTTTACGACTTGTCCGAGTTTATCAAAGGTACCTGCAAGTTTTATTTATATCAGATACAACAGTAGATACCGTATATAATTTAATTAGCGGAATTAAATAGTAATATCTCTTGTTTTGTATTCATAATCTCAACTAGTTTGTAACTAATTATATTTATTTTGTAGCTAAAAATAAAGCACAAATATTTCAGAACAAGTAATAAACGAGGATATCATCAAATAAATATTAAATATTTAAATTTAATTCTTGACATAACACGCAAAGTACTGCACGTACGTTAATCAGACAAAAAGACAATTGAAAACCGAAGTCTACAAACACTGATTAAACATTAAAAAAATGTCTCTCCTTCCATAATCTCTAATCATCGTTTGATTGCCAAACATAACTTTAACTAAGAAAATGTGAAAATATTTGACAATATAACTATTATACAATAAAAGATTAATGTCTGAAATGGTATATATTAAAAGACAGAACAAAGAATTAAATAAGCAAAACGGCACGGAGTTACTTTGCGAACACAGGGTAAGTCGCATGAGAAAACAGACACATGAAAGTTAGATACGAATACAGTCTAAATTGTTCAATTTGTCACGCAAAGCAAAGTCCATTCCACATCGACTGATGCTTTAAGTGCAAAACAAGATCTATAATTGTGTTATTTTCCATAGGTTTGTTATTTACGCGAAACAAGATATTTCGAACTTTACGTTTGTTCCTAATTTCCATATGTCCGACTTACACTGTTCATTTCGTTCACACTGCTATGTTAAATTCTGTGTGCATCTTGGCCTCACTTCATAAAATATGATCAACTGTGGTAAACATTGGTATACATATTTTTGAATTGTTATTGTATTGTTAAAATCTCAATTGCACAAAATGTATTATTGTATAATTAAGATTTATGTGTGTGTACACAAATGTGTATTTACGTAATATATACTAACCAGTCTGATTTCTCAACAAATTAGCATTTGCTTCTGGGCCATACGTCATTATTGTCCCCATTAATGCAATTAAGATGATTTCTATCAGCATTAGTATCAACATTTGTTGCTTGTTGGAAGTTGATGAAAACATTGTCTGGAAGAAAGAAAGATTGTTGAACAAGTTGTATTTTGTTATATATAAATTATTACTTAGTTGTGTATAAAATTTATCTTTTTTCTCTATTAGTTTCTATTTTTAATCAAAGTTTTATATTAAATAGAATTAGTGTTGGAAAAAAATAATTTTTTTCTTTTTAATATCCCAAGTAGCACATGTTCGTTTCAGAAACGTTTCACAAATGTTTCTTTGAAACGTTTCATAATGGTTCTAAAAAACGTTTCTCGTTGGTAAAAATGTCAACCCGAAATACATTAAGAGAAACGTTATTTTTCCGACAAAAAACCGTTTAAGGAACGATCAAAAAACATTATTTTTTCGACAAAAAAACGTTTAAGAAACAATCAAAAAAGAGTTTTTTTTTTATCCGCAAAAAAATGTACTTTTTTAACGGAATTAATAAAATAATTCATACATATGTATATGTGTACCCAGGTAGCACAAATGTCTTAAAAACATCTGTAAGAAAACTTGATAAAGGCCTAATATAGGTTGAAACGTCTTTATAATATATGGTATAATATATTGCATGAATAATTAGCAACGACTCTTTTTGCCTTTTTCACCTAATATTAATTGATATTTTTATTGGAGCCTTAATATCATTATTGTATTTCAATATATATAACTTACCTTATTTGTCGCAGAAGTGCGAAGATATTTGGTAAAAATTTTTGGCGTTCGGCGTTTTGATACGAAATAGATCAAGTCGTAAGTCATGTCATAACAGCTATGATCCA